CAAGAATGAGAACGAGAATTTCTGATTCTCCTCACTAGTCTCCAGATTCTGCTTTACTTTATCCTCTCCTAAGCCTTATGTAAACTTAAGACAACTCGGGCTGAGACCTTCTATTACTGTCAAAAGCCATTTTGAAGTAATTCAAGCACTCTGTTTCCATTCTTCTGGGAAATCCTTGCAGTCTTGGAAGTCGTAACAGCATTCTACGATCATCTGTTGTCTTGTACAATGGCCTTCTCGACAAATAGATCTCGTCTCTTCTGGGCCCACCCAGGGCGGGAGGGCGTGGGGGAAAGTGGCAGAGATGGCCGGTTCTGTGCTATTTACTCTTTTTACTCTACTACACTGGCAACTGATCTCTCTTTTCCTTTCTTTTCCGCTCTTCTTTGTCCCTGTCTTTGAGCCTTGGTGATGCCCCACCATTCCTGGTATTAGGAGACAGTTTGTGTCTGAAGCTTGGTGGAAGCCGATTGTCATCCTCCCTGTGCCCCGTCTGGCCCAGGGCAAAGGTCTCTTCAATGGGGAAGATGCCTCGGCCTTCTTAAACTTCATTGTCTATACCCAGAAATGCAGAGCAAAGAGCTCCAGTTTCTAAAAGGGGAGGATATGCTCTGAGGGTTTGCTGCAATTCTCTCCATTTTTACACCACAAAGGTTGGGGCATGATTTCAAATCTGGTTTATCTGAGTTTTGTTTAAACATGTGCAATGTTGCTACAGGATTCTTCAACTGGTCAGGGCTTCCGGTAAGATAATACAATAAACTCTAGGCACATGGAGAACCTTGCACGGTCTCTTCTCCAGTGAAGAGTATTATGGCTGTTGATGTCATAATCGCTCTGATTATTCCTGGGCATCCTGGGGAAGGGTGTGCATTCTCCGTCTCTCTCTGCCACGAGGGCTTTTGGCAGCAGCGGCGGTCTGCTACCGTGCTAGCAGAAACCAGATGACCAGCTACCAGTTTCTGAGGGCCAGGAATAGAGTGGAGAAGGCAAGGGACGAATTTGGGGGCATGCAATTGGTCTGAGAGGGAGCATGCCTCTAGTTAAAGATATCATTTCTTTTCATCTATTACCACAACTATACGGAAATGGTTGCATTTACAGTTTGCATTTCATGAAAACAGATCTTTCACATGGGTCAGAGTGGTTTTTATGTTGCCAGACCTTGGCCTCCCTGCATTGCCTTACCCAGAGTATCATTTTAGTAACAAACACTCATGAATAAGGTACATTTGTAGAAACCCTTATAGATTCTTTTGAGTTTCTATTGGTAGTACAAATATTTTAAAAACCACTTTATTGGGGCGCCTGGGTGGCTCAGTCGTTAAGCGTCAGCCTTTGGCTCAGGTCATGGTCCCAGGGTCCTGGGATCGAGCCCCGCATCGGGCTCCCTGCTCGGCGGGAAGCCTGCTTCTCCCTCTCCCTCTGCCCCTGCTTGTGATTCCTCTCTCTCACTGTGTCTCTCTCTGTCAAATAAATAAAAGCTTAAAAAAAAAAAACCACTTTATTATAATTACCAATATGCTGCTTCTCCTTTTGTTTTTCTTTTCTTACAAAAAACGTAAGGGATGGGACACTTACCAGAAGGATCTGTGGGGGCAATGCTTTTCATCTTCAATTGATGAAATCCATCCAGAAAATGTACAGAGAAACTCACATTTTTGCTAGTTTTTGTTCATGCTCTGGCAGTATTTCAACCATAGGATCATCTGGAAGTTTTGTCACCACAGAAGGTGATGAACATTTCATTATTTAAAACTTCATTGTTTTACACTTTCCTAGAAGCAAAAATTCTACCAACTTTTAATATCTATCAAAGCAGATTACACATGAATGCATGGGGTTTCAAAGCATTTGAGCACTTTTTTTTTTTTTTTTAATTGTATCAATCTCTCTTAGGATCTGGATTTGGGGACTGACTGGGATTGGCTTGGAAAAGTGGGTAGGGAATCTCAAGATTGGTCTGGAACGTGGGAAGAAGACAAATCAGTGGGAACCAAAGAAGGTCACTCCGGAATTGTTTTGTTTTGTCTTCCAAACTAGTTCCCTAGTACAGATGTACCCGAGTTTCTCAAAACAGGAGCTATCAACACCTAAAGGTTGTGGTCATCGGCCAGGGGCCCCGTTCCCGGCTCCCCTCTTCCTTCTGCTGTTTCTCTTTCTCGGAGCAATCCTCTCCCTGTGAGAGCCTCCGTGTGCCCAAGGGCCCAGCCCCAGACCTCTTCTTTGAGGCCTGTCATTTGAGGGGGTTATTTTAGTACCTGGTGATGCGAGTTCAGGGCAGCTGGCTTGCAGTTTAGAATCCCTGCCGTGTACTGAAGACCAAAACCATTCAGTCAAATACACAAGGAAGTTTCGGTGCTGTCCTGAACTTCTAGGATCTGCCTTCTTACATAACTGTCCTCTTCAGTGATTTCAAAACAAACGAGGGCAGAGGGAACCTGAAGGGACAACAGGGCATTGTGAGCAGAGCTGGTTTGCAACTCTTTGTAAATTAATTTTAGCATTCCTTATTCCCTATTGTTAAAAACAAGACAACCGGCCCCAAATAGAGTCACTTACGCTAAGTCCCACGTCAACAAACAGACTTAACTTAATGATTGTTTCAGCTCTTGGAGAAACGGCATCTTAAACTAGTCCATCAGGAATCACCTGATCCGCATTAGTTAAGTAATCTGTCTGATAAACCCCTGCCATGCCCTAAAGGAAAGTAACCTTGCAAGAAGCAATTTACTTTTTGTCTGGTCTAACTTCCTTGTTCCACCCCCTTTCTGCCTAGAATAGTCTTTCATTTCGTATAGCTCCTCAGAGCTCCTTCCTGTCTGCTGGATGCATGAGTAGTAAATAAAGACTAAGGTCTTTAACATGTACTCAGCTTAGTTTTTGTTTTTTAACACCATATATGTGTGGTTTTTTAAAATTCTCCTTTGAACTAGTTAAAAGGTCATCTCGGTTCTCTCATTAATGAATTCAATAAAACCTTTGATGTGTTTTCATTTTATATCTGTATGAGAGGCGTGATTTTTACCTTTTAAAATATATCTTTTAACATTAGGTACATAATATGCTAAGTACTTTTCTAGATGCTGATGGAGAGCAAGAATTTTCTGTCCCCTCAAGGGTCTTTCTAGCGGGACTAAGAATCAAATTGACTTGAGGCAGATTAACAGGAGAAAGTCAAATTTAATGGTGCACATACGAGGTATCCACATAGACGTGGAAATTCCAAAAACAGGCAAAATGACGTATACATGTCATCCTGAGCTAAGGAGAAGGGGATAGAGGTCTGGGACTTCAAAGGGAGGGAATGCACTTCACAGGAAGATGAAAAAGGGTAAATGTTGGGTAAACAAGTGTTTGCTGGGCCATACAGAAATGGGACATAAAGGATTCTGATCAAACAGGCCTTATTAAGTTCTTCTCGGTCTACCACGCCTAACTCATATCATACTGTAGTTATCCATAGCAATACCTCGCTTCCTGAAGCAGGTTCTCTGAATTATTTTTAGGCAGTGGAGGTGGGGGAGGTAAAGAGCTTTTCCTGAATCTCCTGGATTTAACTGAATCTTCATGCCAAAGTGGCCCATCTTGGGGTGGCCTGCCCTTGGCCCCTTGTATAAAGCCCTTTTGTGTGTTTATTTAACAAACCCAGAACACAGTTTTGGATGCTATGTGCTGTTCTAAGTGCTTGATAAATGTTAACTAATTCAATCCTCATAACAGCCCTATAGCACTTTTGTGTCCCTTCAGCCCTTATTAGCCCGTCTTTTCAAACTGAGTTTCAGGCTCAGCACCTGGGGCGAGGTTGTGTCATCACTGAGCGCCAGGGGAGGGAGCCCAAGTGCAAACCTGGGTGAGGCTGAAGCACACAGGCCTTCTGCTGGCCCTGCGGTTCCAAGTGAGCCGGGGGGTGAGATGAGAACGGGGCCCCAACTTTGTTTTGCAGGACGCTGCATCTTTAAGGAGCAAAAGGGTTATGCTGACAGAGGGGAGGGACTATGATAAATGGGTTCTGTAGAGACGCCCCCAGCCAGGGAGGGATCAGCACTGGGCCCAGTGGTGTAGGGCATTGCTCAGACTGGCATGATGCCCGTTGTGCTGTGTCTTATAAAAGTCAACTTAGGGGCGTCTGGGTGGCTCAGCTGGTTAAGCGCCTGCCTTTGGCTCAGGTCATGATCCCGGGGTCCTAGGATCAAGGCCCTTGAGCCCCACATCCCACTCCCCACTAAGTTTGGAGTCTGCCTCTCCCTCCCTCTCTGTTCCTCCCCCGCTCTCCTTTTCTATCAAATAAAATCTTAAAAAAAAAAAAAGTCAACTTAAACTATTGCTCCACTTGTCCCCCCAGGGCCCTCTTTCTTCTCAGAACATACACTTTAGTTTATTATTTTTCTAAATGTATGGTCACCATGCCCATGGGAAAGTCAAGGTGACAGTGGGAGGCAGCAGGATATGGGGGGGCGGCGCACAAATGGAATCTGCTGGACTCGGGTTCAAATCTAAGTTCTGCCACTTACTGGTTAGAATCCACTTAAATGAGCCTTAAATCTCAGTGGGATTAAGTAAATGCTTCCATCTCTTTTCCCACAAGAAGTGAGCAAGGGCTCAGCTGGGCCTTGCAGCTGGGGAAGAGACTCGAGGGTCCGAGGGTCCGGGGGCGGGGGTGGGGGTGGGAGAAGGGGAGGGGAAGTCGGTTCCGAATTGGCTGAGAAGAAAGTCTACCTTCTGGTGTTGCTGCTAGAGGCCTGGCTAATCCCGCAGGCTGAGCCGCGGCCCCAGCGCCGGGGAGGAGACAGACTTCCAGCAAGCTCGGGAGGCAGCAACCCGGCCAGATAAAGATCTGTGACTGGCAGCTCCCGATCGACCTGCCTTCCCAATTCCTGTTCCAGAGCAAAGGTCACCCTGCCGTTTGCATCGGCCTCTTTTTTTTTTTCTTCTCCGCTTTGTTTACCTTATAAGGAAGGTCAACATTACAAAGTCGAAAGTGCCTGTTATCATCCCCTGGATTTCGACAAATAGTTCCCTGAACCAGAACGTTCCATGTGAAAGATGGCTGGGCATTCAATTTTGCTGGCTGCTGTCTCAGTCCTGTCGGCCTGTCAACAAAGTAAGAGTGTCAGGCTGTGTGTGTGTGTGTGTGTGTGTGTGTGTGTGTGTGTGTGTGTGTGT